AAATTTTCTGATGCATAAAAGTTTTTTAATCTTAAAATGAAAATTACTTTGCATGTTGGATAGAAAAATGTTGCTGAACAAACCTTAAGACTTAATAAAAAATTATATTTTGTGTATGAAAACCTTGTACTGTTTACTGATAATCTGCCAAATTTTGTGAACATATACTTACTAATTTAAAGTTAAAGAATGAAAACTATAACAAGCACAAAATGGTTACGAGGTTGGTCCCAGGGACCAAACTGAAAGAGTTAAATGCCTTTATCAACGTACATATCAGTTAGATTTTCTGACCTACCCTTCCCTATACCATTAGCTCCTACGTGCACAACAAAAACAGCATCTCTGCTAGCCCGTTTTATTATTTCTCTTCCTGTGTCAGTTCTCTTGCTTTGTCAGTTATGTCCTCCACCTGTGCCCCTGAGTAGCATAATCTAATTCTTTTCTCCCTATTTACCCTACAGACTATCCTATCCACATGCTTTGTCAAAGTATCACCTACACCTATATCCTCTTCAAATTTATCATTCACATCCTCCTCTGTCCCTTCTGTTTTCCGTCTCTCCAATTGTTCCTCATCTGCACAAGCCAAGGGCTGAAATCTGTTGCTCAATAGAATGTGCTCATTACAATTAAATTCACTACTTTTTGCCCAAATAATACTGTTTCTAACTTCCTTAGTCATTGTTAGCTGATATATCGCTTGCATGTAAAAGCTTAAGCTCCTCTTGAAACCCTTCTGCCATTTCCCATATATATATATATCTGTGTACATAAAGAAAAAGGTCTACCTCAGCTGCATCTGGACTTGGTGTTGCTGCTAAGGTCCAGTTTGTTACTGGGTTTATAACATCTGCAAACTTTGTTGAATCACCTCCAAGAAATCCTATAATGCAAACAGCATGATGCTGTAATACCATTTTGTTCTCTTACTTTAAGGAAAATGAGAGTAAAAGCCAATATCACAGGAACAAACAAAACTGTATTAGTTCTTAACTCTAAACAAATAATAACTGAAAGCTTAAAATTTCAAATCTCCTATCACTCGCTAAATACATAACAGGCATAAATAGGTGTTTTATTTTCTAAACAAAAACTCAAATTATTTGAAACATAAATGCATCTTTAAATTTTTGGTTTCAAATTTAGTACATTTTCTAATTGTGGTTAAAATGATGTCAGAAGTAAAGTTAATAATTTAAGTTTTATTATTTGAAAGAAAAATATGTAATGTTTCCACAGCAACTGTAAAGAAACAAATGTACAAGAATAGTCACTTTCCTCTATGTACTTTACCATAAATTAATTTTATTCATGTATCAACAGTATAGGAAAACATTTATTATAAGTACAACATAAAGCTTATTAAGATTCATTACATGTATTACAGTAATGTTCAGGAAATCTTGGATTTCATACAAATTTTACAGTTACCAGAGCACGCGTCTTTTGTATATACCAATTTTACACAAACACACATACTTATTTGAGCTAATCTAGGCCAAAACATATCAGTACAGCCACTTTTCTGGAACGTTAACAAGATTTTCAAGGTTTATTGGTGTAATTTTATTGGTCTTTCTTTCAGGAAACTTCAAATTTGCCTAAACAAATTTCAGATGAAAATTTAAAAATAATTTACTTGTAAACTGTCTTATCTGTGTTAAGAAAAATATTTACCATGTTTAGCTCTGAAAGCAGACCCTAAAGCAGAAGAATTTGAAACATCTTGAACATATACTGAGGTACTAAAAATGTCAGCCAAAACCTGGAAAAAAGAACTTATTTATAACAGAATTTTTCACGTCAGTAAAATGCAAGAATGCAAGAAACTGTCAAATGACTGGGAACATTTATTTTATATATCAAAAAATGTTAATTCATGTACGTTTTATACATGATTTGAAGTTGTTGTTAAACCTTGTTCATATTACAGAAATAATTTAAAACTGTTAACACAAGAAATCAGTTTTAAAAAATAAATTTTAACTAAAGTATACAAAGTTTTGCTATAAAACTATTTCTTCTTCAAGTGGTACTTTTGCTCATTTTCCACATACTACATGTGCATATTGATTATAAATTCCAACATACATACCTCTCATTTTATGAACTATCTATTAGCTGTATTTTGATACTTTATAAAATCAGTCTTACTCTCATTATATGTATGTGCACAATTACAAACAATAAAATTTTGATAAGCCATTAATAAGAACAAAATATATATATTTAGCACAATTATACACACTAATGAGTATTAGTATTTATCATTCATCATCTGGAAGATAAAACAAATTATCATTTGTTTGGTTGTTTTATCGCAAAGCTACACATTAGACTATCTGTACTCTGTCCACCACAGGGAATGAACCTCAGATCTTAGTGTTGTAAACCTGTAAGCTAATTACTTGAGTTATGATGGTTGAATGTAGACTAGAGGTTAAAAATCATTATATAAACTGTGATAAAACACTCCAGATAAAAATCCTGTTTTATTTTTACCTTAAACATTTTTGCATCCACCTTTCTCAAGGGTTACATTTTGTGTAATAACATAGAATTAAAACAAAAATAATTTGAAATAAATAAACAGATTAAATAATTTTATGCAATAATGGGATCTAAGAAAAGTTATAAAAATATCAAAATACTTAAAAAGTGTTAGCCATCTTTGTGATAAATACCTGCAGAATAGCACTGTTTTCTGATGCTCCCCCTGTGGCTAGGACTCTTGAGCCAGGCCCTGTTCAATATTCAAACATATACATAATTTAATCAGGTAACATTTTTAGTCTACAAGTAGTTAATTTGTAATTCAAAGTCAGGCATCATTATAAACGGATAAAAACAAAGTTTTTAGAAATTTATATCAAAAATAGGTAAAAAATTTGAAAAACAAACAACACAAAATAAAAAAGTGCATTTATGAGAGTAACAGTTACAATTACCAAGAGAGCATGCAACAGCATGTTACAGTTCTCACTACAGCAGGTACTTATATGAAATTTGGAATTTTTAGAGCAGTTTATTCTCTGGCCTATAAGAATAATCTCAGTTCTGATGAGATTTTTTTAAAAATGGGATTGCAGTACCTTCTGTCTGTCATTTTTTTACTAAAGACCTGTGCAATTCTCTAAAGTAATTTTTCATATCTTTTTCATTTTGCAAGTGTTTTTCAAACCATCCATTTCAAATATATATGACATTGAGATATATAAGCAAGCAAGAGCAAAATGCCACTTATTATATGTTTCAAAGTTAATTCAATGGTTACTGAAAGAATAAATTAACAGAAACTAAGTGCTTTTATTGTTCATGTTCAATAGTGCTTAATAACTTCTCTATGTAAATTGAAATATGGAAACTTTTACTGATAAATCTCTCATATACCAAAAGGAAAGCTGATATTTTTGTTTACTTATTACACTTTAAATATTCTGTTTTGAGGGTCCTTCCCTAAAAGCTTGCAAATTAACTCTTATTCACATAAAAAACTTTTGTTTAAAATATTTTTCATCTTATACATATTTTTGAAGTTAGTGTTACATATTTCAAAACAAAACATCATTATTCAAGTAATATTCAGTTTCATATTTGTCACAACTAATTGATTTTTTGATTATACGATTCTTAAAAAAAAAATTCTGATATATACAAAGTAGATAAGTTTACAAAACAGTTGTTTGCAGGACTGAAAGAAATAAAAGCTTAAATTACTATATATATGTATAGTAATGTAAAGATATTGGTGTGTTGGGCTGAGGATACTTCTACGAAAGGTGTTTGTGATTTTTTGGCAATAAATTTGACAGTAAATGAACAGCACACATTCCACTTGTTTTTAAAATTATAGAGATATATATGTTCGAAACAAGTTAAATGTAGGTACAAAAATTCTTTATACTATGGAGGTCATAGTTGTATCTTAAACACTATACAGTTCTCTTCTTTTTGTCAAAAGTCCACTCAGGCCAATTCAATTACTTTAGAATTCAGTTGACAAGCCAAACTATTTTTCTCTATTTGTATAGTAATAGTAGCCGTGTATAATTCACTTGCGCTTTCACATGAATTACCGCAGTTGTATCCTGAACTTCCAATAATCGTCTGCCTTTTGTCAAAGTTCACACAGGCGGGTTCAATTAGTTTAGAACACCTTTGATGAGACAAATTATTCTCCTTATCTCTTTCAAACTGTTAATCTGACTCTCACAAATCAACCATTAGGCCATTCACTCCCACAACAGTTAACTTTACGTTTTTTTTTAACTTCTCTTTCATGTGACTTTACTTTTACTCTCTGTTTCTGATCATCTGGTTGCAGCTATTTATACATCTATCACTTAGGCCATTACGGAAATCTCCAGAGCCTTAACATCAATGGATTGCAAACACAACTTTCGATACCTTTGACATCAATGAATTAAAAAATAATAATAATTAATAATACTACGTACACATGTTCATTAGTTTAAATCCCCATAATATTTCTTGATATGAGCTAAGTACTTAAAAGTTTGCTATGACAAAATTATTTTCCTTAAATCAAAACATTTCACTTTAAAAGAAACATCTGTGAATAGTTTAAGTTGTCAGAAGATCACACAGCATGCACCAACAGCCAAATGAGCTACATGTCACTATCAAAAAGCTAAATATATAGGCAAAGGTTTCCCAAGTTGGGGCCAAAGAAAAGTGTAGGTGTGTGTGTGGGTGGGATACACAATACCATTAAGGTTATCAGTATCAATAGATTCAGTCAGGATGTGGAATATTCCAAGGGGATAGATGGGGGACTTTCACTGAGAAAGTTTGGGCAACTCCTCAACAGGCAATACTTACAAAAGGTTATGTAAGACACTACATAAACAGCATATATGGGATATAAATCATAAAGCCTTTGTAATGATCTTCATAAACTTTATCTAAAGAAATGTTTTTACCATTTCAATAATAATCAAATAAAAGTTTTAGAAAAATTGGTATCCATGCTCACTGCTTAAGAGAACCCAATTTTCGTTGACAATACACTTACCAACAGAGAAACCTAAATTTTCAGAATGTACTCTTTTAGCAAGAAACTGCCCTTCTATTAGAGCCCTCACTTCAACTTCCTTGGAAAACCGAGATACCTAAAGTATAAAATCATTACATATTCATCAACACTATAAAAACATTATAAAGTCTTATAACATGCAGAATGCAATATCGTGTTCAAATAATTATGCAAAAAAAATAAATATACATAAGTATTTTTAGCCTTCAAAAAATCTCAATTTAAATGTAAAACTACCATTATACATGAGCTGAAATAAAGATGTGCACAAAACTTTAAACGTTTCAATATAATAAATCTTTATTCTTCTGCTAAAAGAACTTACCAAAATATGATGTAACAAGCTACCCAAAACCAGAAAAGGTTTTTAAATATAATCACAATTGTCATTTTAAGAATTAAAATGAAGTTCTCTTAGGACATTCACCTTCATCTCATAGTACGATAATGGAATTTGGCTACAAATGAGCAGCTTTTAACCTGGTTTACTCAACAATAAATCTTTACTTTGTACATGTAGTAACTGAAACTATTAATATATTAGACTACTTTTGGTACACTTATATAATGTTAGAGATTCAGAAACAATAAGGCCCATCCACCCCATAATATATACTGAAGTTGTATACATAGATACATACATACACACACACAGATATATATATATATATATATATAAATACACACACATAGACATTCATATTTATACTACCTTATATTTTAGTTTTGAACTATTTTCAGTAACTTCTGATCAAAGCAAGCTACCGACGTAGATCAGAACATAGAATGAACCCAGTAAATAACATAGCTAATTTAGTTTAATAGTCTCACTAGGAGATATTCAATGTCAAGAAACAAAAACTTGTAACTATACTGATTAGAATGCACCGATTCATCATTTGGGTATTACTGCTTTTTTAGAGATGGGCAATTTAAGGTATTTTCTAATTGATTCTTGACAGTCCCATTATTCAATTACATTTGATTGATCAATTTGTACACTGTTCATCAAACCATGGTACATCCAAGCCAAAAAATATATATAAAAATGTAGACAGCAGGTGTAGTCAGACACTTGCCTTCCTTCTAGTTAGTAGTTCAAAAAGAAAAAAAAATGTTTGCAGTGGATACTGGCAGCAAGTTGTCTTCCTTCTAGTGAGAAGTTTAAAATTAGTAATAACAGTGACAGAAAACCTCAGTAGCTTTACCATAGCAAAGACAGAGTGAGCAAGTTTGTTGTCAATATTTCAATAACTTAGATAGTTGGAATAATCGAAAATAGTAATAACTGGAAACCCTAATTTTGATTAGTTGATTATTTTCATGACAATCAATTTCATCATAATTCTGATTAATCAACTGTTGAAATAATTGGAAAATTTTAATCCATTAGTTATTTTCGTTACAATCGATACGATCAGAATTCAAATTAATTGATTTTAGCAATAATCAGAAATTAATTTTGATTAATTGATTAAATTGTAGTTTTTGTAAATTTATTAGTTTATATGAAAATTAATTTTGATTAATTGATTAAATTGTAGTTTTTGTAAATTTATTAGTTTATATGAAAATTAATTTTGATTAATTGATTAAATTGTAGTTTTTGTAAATTTATTAGTTTATATGACATTAATTGATGTAATCCCTGCTCAAAGGTAATGGATCAAATCACCAAGCTCTATTGCTGTTATCAATATTTTCAGCTTAATTCCAATAATATCTCACAAGATTCAGACAGCTTAGGAGATCTAGGTTAGTTAGTCTTAAATCTATATACTAAGCTAATAGTTTAAAATAATCCTTGAAATAAAACAAAAACATATAATAAGTAAAAAATTATAACAGACACTTGTGCAATAATCTTAATAAAACTAACATTAAAAAAAGAATGGAAATGGGAGTCCTACAATGTAGAATGGGATAGAAAAATGAAATGGAAATGTGAATCTCAAGTCTTTTGTTTTAAAGGGATAATTTTAAAAAAGATAAACATGTAAATCACAAGATACTGAAAATGTAACACTGATGACAAATTTAGGACAGACATAAAATTCAAAGATCAGAAATCAAACAGGAAATAAGAATGACAGCTATGCTAACAAACAAGTTTCTTAACACTGACAGGTAATAGATACTGGTACAATTTATCATCTAATAGTAGGAAAGTAGATTAGGATATGATTATATTGAACATCTGTTACTGGCAATTCTTACATTTACACATGCACAAAGATGTGTGATCCGAGGGTAAAAAAAGCCATGTGAGAACTTTAAAAAATCAGTAAATGACTGGTACATCAGCCTATTGAAAGTCTGCTATTGCTCACTAATAGAGTATAATGTGTACTGACTACAAAAAACTACTAAACAAGAAAAATAGACAAACCTCCATTTTATACTGCAAAAGTAAAATAGTTAGTTGTGTGATACTTAGAAAACATTAAACTTTCTAACAGTTCTAAAACCATTTAAACACAATAGGGAACAAGTTGTAATCATGATTTCTCTTGTTAAGTATCTCATTGGCCACCACCCACTCAAACCTAGATACACTAGCACATACACCACATTATCGACCTCCTGCTGTGTCTTCCTAATGTTAAAAAAATGAATTTGTCATTACAGTAAGAATAAAACATTCCTAAAATATATGATAGAACTATATTTTTGTTTACTAAAAATTATCAAATTATCATTAGTAATTAGTTTTTGTTCTGGTAGTTACATTACACCAGGTTTTATTCCTTTAAAAAGCTTTTGAAGTAACAGCTGAATCTGTAAGGTAAAACGTAGACATTTTCACCAAACAAACTCAATAATTTATCAGTAACAGTTCACTCCATATTAGGTAAAGGAAAATGAAACTTTGAATGAATCCTCAAGTAAAATGACATATTCAGACAGAGTCTGGCATATTTGCCACCTGCAGTTTTCATTCTATAATAATAATATAGAATAATTTGCTTCATATTTATTGAAATACAAACATTCAAGTAAAATAGGAATTTGGAAAAATAAGATTAATTTTCCAAATTAAAAAAAAACAAGTATATGTGTGTGTGTGTGTATGTATGTGTATGTGTATATATATATATATATATATACACA